ACAGTTTGGTTTATCCTATGTATTTTCTTTACTGCTTATCCCTTTCTGTTGTTAAATCTGGCCCAGTAGGAAACTCAGGAGCAAGGACAGCCTTAAAGGGGCAAAACTGATCCAGTCTATGCTCTGGCCCTGTTTCAAGAACATTCTCTTGTGACTGATAACCTTCCAAGGGAAAATTCTGTATTTCTTCTCACTGGGGTGGTAAAGATCTCTGCTTACTCTGTGGGTGGGGAAGAGGATCTGATCTACCACTGTAGCCATTGTCTCCCTTCTCTTTCTGGACCCTGGAGAGGTGGAGTGACTGCTGTACATCACAGCTAGTCTGAATGAAATATCCTGCCTTGTGCCTTTCTTGTTACCTCACAGGGTTTCAGAAGGCCAATATTTCCTTTATATATGAAGAATTTCTAATGAGACCTATCCAAATTGTGGGTCTCCCACCACCACTTCCATATGACTTGAAAGCTCTTTTCCAAGTAAGTCCAACTACAGGCACTGTGATAACAGGTTGCTTTCATAGGTTCTTGTCTGCATGTGGTGTAGACCTGTTGGGTATATTGGAGGTTAGTCCTGTCTGGTAGCTTTATCATTTGAGCCTAATTTTTAGGTTACAATTAGGTGTACATAACTTTTTTTTTCTTCGTGCATGGGTGACAGACATAGGCATTACACTCAACCAGTAGAGAGAAATTGGGGTATCTTTCTGAATCAAGGAAGTCTTATGAGATGTTGCGACTTGGTCATCTACTACCTTTTCCTGTGTTCCCTCATCACTGAGCTCAGCCTTCCCTGAAGTCTCTAGCCTCAAACCCCATCAAATGATTACTTGTAAAATTTTTGAAGAAAACTATAATATTCATGTATGGACATGCTTCATAATCATTTTCCTTGGTTTTGTGGTCTGGCCAGATGTCAAAAGGCTAGGTCTGTTACTGCCAAGAAAATATGGGAAGTCAACCTCTATCTACCCTTAGGTCCATGGTATATAAAGAAAAATTTCTTAATGGAGTGGTGTAGGGTTGCTGAGCTCTTTATGAAATAACTACTTTTGAAAAAACACGTCCAAATACATAAACAATTAGAAGGGAACCAAGAAGAGCCAGGTATGCAGGACAGAGCATACCTGACCAGCCTTCTGTGAGGAGGATGACTTCTTCTATGGATGCAGAGAGGGCAGTGAATGTTCTCTACCTTGACTTTACACAGTCTCTCATAATGTCTTCATAGCTAGATTGGAAAGAGATGGTTTGAATAAGTGGACCACAAGGTTGGTGGCAAATTGTCTGGTATGCTGGGTGTCAGATGTTTGTGATCAGCAATGCAAAGTTCAGTTGGTGGCTAGCCACTAGTGGTATCTCTCAGGGAACAGTACTGTAACTAATAGTGTTCAGTGTCTTCATTAAAGACCTGCATGATGGGACAGGCAGACAGAGGACCCTCTCAGCCAGTTCACAGAAGATACCAATTTGCACTGCGCTGTGCTGAAGGGTAGTACTGATACTCAGAGAGACCTTGATGGGCTTACAGGAACCTCAAGAGGTTCAGCAAAGGCAAGTACAGAGTCTTACACTTGAGATGGAATAAATATGTGGAACAGTACAGGCTGGGGATCAACTAACTGGCTGGGGACACCTCTGTGTCTTAGTGGTGATTATGAAACAGTAGTGTGTTCTTGTGACAAAGAAGCTCGCTGCATGTTGGACTGTATTAGGAAGAGCATAGACAACAGTGTACGGGAAGTACTTAATAGATCACATTAGAAAAGCTGTGTCCAGTACAAGAAAGAAAATGATGTGAGCCTAGTGATAGGCCACCAAGATGACTGGGAGCTAGAGCACATGCCATAAGGGGAGAGGCTGAGAGAAGTGGGTTTCTTTGACCTTGAGAAGGGAAGTATCAGAGGGGATCCTGATTTTGCCTTCTGCTACCTATAAGAAAGACTGAGCTAGGCTCTTCTGAGGTGCACAGTGAGGATGTGATGCAATTGAAACAGTCCGCAACAAAGGAAATTGCAATTAGCTATACGGGAAAAAGTTATCAGCAGGAGGATGTCAAACAATAGTTGAATCTCACCCTTGGAGATAGAACATACCTTGACAGGGCTGAGCAACTTGAGCAAGCTGATCTGAGTTTGAAACTGCATCAGACTTGAAGGTAAGTTGTGCTTTGAGTAGGGGGTGGACTAGATGATTACTTGAGTTCTCATGCAACTTTAACTTCTGAGTTCCAGGCTCTGAATCTGTAGCACCTCCTGCTAAAACTCTTGCTGTGTTCCTTATCTGATACCCTGTGTAAATGAAGGATCTCATGTCATCTTCCTCCTGGCTCTGCCATGTTAGCTGTTCTTGGGCCCAGCAGAAGGAAACTCAGTATGGAAGACTTGCAGTGACTTGTGGAAACTTCTGGTCCCTAATAATATTGTGTCTGCAGGCAGAGGATCCCTAGACAGGATCCAGTAACTCTTTGCATGACTTCTGGGAGCAGTAGTTGTTGTTGGGACTGTTTTGTGTGGTTTCCCATTCCCCTTTCCTACTTGTAAAGCTTTGACCTTTCATCAGAAATATAAATGGTTCAGGGAATGCTGAGAAGGCTCAATATGACCATGGAATAGCATGAGAATAATGGCAGCTGAGGACACTAACATCCTTAAGCCTGTGAAAAAAGACCCTACAGGGAATACAGTAGAGGTCTGTAAAATCCCGAATGGCCTGCAAAGTCAAATGCAAGAGTTACAGAAGTTATATCAGAAAGTAACAAAAGTTGTTTTAACTGCGTGGGTCCTTGATGGCATGAAAGAATGCTAAGAATAAGACAGCTGAACTTGTAATTTTAGCATGTGGTTTCTTACTCTGGACTGCTTCAGTATCAAAGCAGTGACAAAAGCAGTACCAATTTTTAAATGGCTTCAGAAGATACCAGTCCCTGACACTGACATGTACATCATAAAGAATCAGAAACTGTGATAAAGACTGGGATTAATGGACAGATGGGTGAGGATGATCTAATGAGCAGAAGTCAGTATGGCTTTTATTAAAGGCATCTGTCTACAAATGTATGGAGTTCTTGGAAAAAGTCTTTGAGGATGTGGGGATATTAATTTCTAAAAGGCATTTGACAGTAATCCCTGCCAAATTAACGGTCAGAAAGCAAATATAATCCTAAGAATATTTAGAGTAGTATTAGAGTGTAAACAGAAATTATCCTTATACTACCATGTAAATCTGTGCGAAGCATACTCTTAAATACTGTGTGTAGTTCCATTCCTGCATCTCAGTAAGGATATCTTGAAATCAGGGAAGTGTTGGGAACAGTAACAAGGAGGTTAGAGATAGTCTTTCTGTATCTGGAAGTGAATCTAATTAGACTAGTGCAGTACACTTTGAAAAAGAGGACTGACATGTACATGAGATCTTTAAAATCAAAGGTGGAATGGCAAGTATGATTGTTTTCTGTTGCCTCCGATATGAAAAGGAGGAACTGCCAAATGAAATTAACAGATGGCAGGTTTGAATGAGCAAAGAAGATAGTTCACATAATTGATGCATTCTTTGCCATAAAATAGGTGTAGTCCAAAAGATTATGTATTCAATAAGTCACTAGGAAAATTCATGAGAAAACACACATCTAAGGTTACTAAATACCAGAAATGCATTTACTAAAAGTAAGACTGTGACCCTTTAGTTACTCACATCAGTTCTGAGTAAGAAATTCCCTGCCAACAGCAGCAGCCCAACTCCTATTTCTATCAGTGGTGAAAGGGGCCATCATGACATGAGGCTAACAAGCAGAAACAGAATCTGTCACAACAGTAAAATCCTTTTCAAATCAGAGAAGCTGCTACTGCTGCCATGTCACAACCACTCTGTGGAGAGGAGTTCCTTGGTCTGACCAACAGTCCACTCTGAGAATTCCTTTAATCAAACATAATGCTATCACAGGACTGGAATACCTAATTCTAGTATTCTAGGTCACAAAAAGGAGGAAAAAGATGGCACAACTGAAAGCTGCAAATAGGCATTTTACTGAAGTTTGGAAGGTAGTAGGAAATGCCAGTGTTTCCTGGCCTTCTGATCATGCTCATAAACAGAACTGGAGTGTAAATGCAAACAAATAGTGGGGGTTTGTTCATGGTAATTTTTATTCATAACTTAGTGCTAATTCTATGCCATAAACCAAATGTATTTCTCACCATATTCTCTCTCTGTATAGACTTTAGACTGAATCCTCTCAGTTCTGCATTACTTAGCTAAATAATTTTATTAGAAATGCAGGACCTCACATACGGCTGTGTTGGCCTATAGCATCCAGTTTCCCTTTGACAGCAGAACATCAGATTCCCCTGGGTGACACACTGATGCATGAAGCACTGTTGCCGGTAGTTTCGTTCTCTCCTAAAGAATATCTGTTCTTATAAAGCAAGAAACATTAAGCCATGTCAGCATGAGCATTTGTATCTGCTATCTTACAAAGAAAATTGTATCATCCCTTTTACAGTTTTATTTTTTTCTGCAGCCAAATGTGGCAGGCCACATTGTGCATAGGGTTATCATAGGGCTCCTGACCAAGCTGTATTTGAGCCAGAGACTGCAACAAGTCTAAATCCTAGGACTGTGTTTTCCTGTTGTGTTTATGTCTTCTGACAGCCCATGAACTCTACATATTAAATGTACTATTCTGCATATATCTAATCTACAGGAAAGCTGGGCTAAAGTTAAAGCTTTAGAGTTAGACTAACAAGCCAACTGCATGATTTCATCAAATCAGGGTCAAAATTTTGCATGCACTTCTTTTGTAGATTTAAAGACATTTCCATTACCAAGCTAAAACCAGCTGAGAAACAACTGACTCAATTTTATTACATTTGCTTTCATTTCTTGGTACCTTTCATAGGCAAGATGGAGATTATAAGATGCACTTGGTCCTCATGCCCATACTTCAGATTTTTTCTGGGAGCCACCCTCAGCTACTTAACGTAAATTGTTTTTGTAAATTTTTTCCAGCTAATCATGTCCGTTTTCGAGAACAGCATGAAAGAAAGAGGCATCACTGAAAATGAAGCTTTTGACTGGGAGAAAACTGGTACAGATATCTTGTTGTCTACTAGCACCTCTACTCCACCACAGCAAAACACCAGGCAAACAGCAGCCATGTTTGGGTGAGTATTGCGGTTGCACCAGTCAGAGTACAGACATTCTCAATAACAAGCTCAGTAACAAGTTCATTTTTGAAAGATTTTAAGGCCACTATGATCCTGGGAAGTTGGAGCTGCATGCCAGCCACCACTTGATTTGACTTTATATATATATATATAACATATATCTAAGGTGGTGGAACCCAGTTTCAGACTCTTGCTGTCCTGAAAACACATTTTCTATAAGGGTTGGAGTCACATCAAGGGATGTCTGGGGACCTTTGGCCAGGATTGATAGAGCCCATATGCTTGTGTATTTTGCATATTACATGGCACATGGCTGGTGCTTCTGTGAGAGCCCCTACTATGCGGCCCTTGTGGCCTTCCTGTGGGGTGGGTTTCTGATTGGTAGTGAGCTGAACATAGAGTGCATGCACTGCTCACAACTTGAACACCACTTACAGGGTGTATTTTATGAGCTTGGTGCTCAGAGATGTAAATGAGTCCAAATGAAAGTTGGTAAGTTTGAGGAAGCTGACATTAAGGGGTAACAATTATCCTTAGTAATATTATTGAAGATAAAAGCTGTAAGATCTGTTAAGCCTCATTTCCTCATGCAATGAGAGGAAGTTTCTTCTAAGCTAAATATTGTGTAATGGACACAAACAACAGTTATCAAGGGTCCCAAGATGCTTTCACTGATCCGTCCCACTGTCTTTTTGACTGTATATTAGGCAGAATCCTGCTGTTCTGTTCCATGTTGTCATATCTGGCATAATGTTGAACTGCCTATTTTTTCAACAGGGTAGTACCCTAAAAACTGCTAAGGAATTTCTGTGGGCCAATGTGATACACCTCCTCCTTTAAGTACTAATAATTGTACCTTTCTTCTTGTCTCTTCCATAGAGTGGTTAATGTCACTCCGGTACCTGGGGACTTGCTTCGTGAGAACACTGAGGATGTCCTACAGGGCGAACATCTGAGTGATCAAGAGAATGCTCCTCCCATCCTGTCAGGCCGGCCAACGGAAGGTCTTGGTCAGACTCCAAACACCGCTTTCAATGAGGCTGAAGTTTGGGAAGAGACAGATGTGAATCGCAACAAACTCAGGATCAGCATCAGCAAAGTAAAGAACATTTATTTATCTCCTATGGCTGTTGGATTTAAGGCAATGGATTCATACTAGACTGCTAGAAGCTGCCTGTATCCACTGATGTAGCATCCTACATAGTGCAGCCCAAAAAGCACTGTGGAATTTCTCTGTGGAAATGGGAAATTACAAACAATTTTTTCACAGAGTAAAAGCCATTGGGGTTAATTTGGATCTTTATGTAAATTACATCTTAGGGGCTGATAACGCTAGAGTGAATATTTTGTACAATTTTTATATCATTATCTAGGATCTTGATACTTCAGGCAATGGGATTCTAGTCCTTTCACAGCTGATGCAATATCAGGAATGTCCCAGGTTTGGAAATTATAAACCAAAATTTTATTGTGTCCTGACCTCTTGGGTAAATAAATTTCATCAGAGATGTCCTCATAAGATGTATTTTTCTACATCATGAATCATCACTGATTTTTTTTCTTTTCTGATTTTTTAACTTTCTAAGCGTAGCAGAATCTATAAAGGGCAATGATGGTTTCACCCCTGTGAAGAGTAAGAGAAACTATCAAGATTCTCATATTTCTGAATTCCAAGATCGTATTAGACTTTTTGGCTTGCATAAAGTTTATACGTCATCTGGTTTTCCTCATAATCCCTAAGATGTTTCTTAGTACTTTCTTGTAAATGTAACCTAATTTATTGGAGGCATCCCCATTGAATGATGATTGCATAGTAAATGTTAGTCATGAGAATCTATCAGTTAGTTTATTTATTAGATCAACTTATATAAGTAAATCAGTATTTGTTGTGTTGATCTCAATTGTTATTTAAAAATTGGAATATCACATGGCATGACATCGGATACATACAGAATTTGTTAGCAGAGAAACCTTCATAAAACAGACTTAAAATACTATCGGGGCATATCAGATTCACTTCACAAACCTGCTTTTAATGGACATTTGTGGACTAGCATGTTAAATCTGCCAGTCTTCTGGGTCTGACCAGGATTCATTTCAGTCTCTACTGGCACAAAGTTATTCTTTTTTAGCCCGGTAGATATCTCTACTGTTCTTAGTCTTATTAGAAAACATTATTCATGGCCAAGAAATAATCTCATCTAACTTGCTTAAAATTCTCCAATGTAAATAATTTGGATCAACGTGTTATCTGTATGTAACGTGGCCAGCGGCATTCCCTAATACTGAGAATTATAAACCAAGTTAAAATCACTTCTTCATCTCTCACTGGTAAACTGTGTGTATTCACAGAAGTTCTCATCTGAAGGCACATGATATAGATTCAGATATGAAGTCATGGCTTTCAGTCTGCTGTATAAGCAATTAAGAAAAGTAGGTATTACAGAATCACAGAATCATCTAGGTTGGAAAAGACCTTGAAGATCCTCTAGTCCAACCATTAACTTAACACTGACAGTTCCCAACTCCACCAATATCCCTCAGCGCTATGTCGACCCGACTCTTAAATCCCTTCAGGTTTGGGGACTCCACTACCTCCCTGGGCAGCCCATTCCAACGTCCAACAACCCCTTCTGGAAAGAAATGCTCCCTAATATCTAGTTTAAACCTTCCCTGGAGCAATTTGAGGCCATTCCCTCTTGTCCTATCACTTGTTACTTGGTTAAAGAGGCTCATCCCCAGCTCCCTGCAGCCTCCTTTCAGGTAGCTGTAGAGGGCCATGAGGTCTCCCCTCAGCCTCCTCTTCTCCAGACTAAACCCCCCCAGTTCCCTCAGCCGCTCCCCGTACGACCTGTGCTCCAGACCCTGCACCAGCTTCATTGCCCTTCTCTGGACACGCTCGAGTCATTCAATGTCCTTTTTGTAGTGAGGGGCCCAAAACTGAACACAGGAATCGAGGTGCAGCCTCACCCGTGCCAAGCACAGGGGTGAGATCCCTTCCCTGTCCCTGATGGCCACGCTATTGCTGATGCATGCAAGAAAAGTCTGGTGGGGGGGACAGTTCTGTTTTCACAACACACAAAAAAGAGTATTACAGTAAAATCCTGGTAACTCTTACATGTTTTTCTGTTCGTTTGAACCACCAGGTGCCATGATACTCTTCAGCCAGACTGAGATGTGCACAAGGGAGTCCTAAATGTATTTTCTGCGTGCTAGTTGTACATCATGTCTTAAGTACCCAGCACTGTCATTCACATGCCCTGTCATAACAGCGGCTAGAGGCAGGAGAGGTTTCTACAAGATCCACAGCATGACCAGGTGACTCTCTTACCAAGGGATATGCTATTCCTTATCAGTTTACCAGTAAAGGAGCTTAAGGAGTTAGTCAGCGTGCCAGTGAGCACTTCAGTTCTGACAAGCTCTGTAGCTACGTAACAGTATGATATAGTGCCCACGGCACCATACTCTCCAAAGCTAAAGAAGTCTGTCCTTTCTGTGAGGGTTATCTTTAGTCTAACTCTTGCCTGCCCTTTCGCTCTGCTAGGCTTATTATCTTTAGTCTCTCTGAGAGAAAATCAGTTTTTATTTAAGTCACAGTCACCACACAGAAAAAAAGGAGGCTGCAGATTTGATATGTAAGGGCACAGCTTCACCTCTGCTTGTAATCTGAGGCATCCTGTGTATCTTTCAGAACCGCAAGGGCAGCTGGTGTCTAAAACACCCTTCTGCTATTCACAGCTTCATCATCCTTCATCGTCCAGTCTTATAGCACTAGAAGTAACTCTGGCTCTCCTTGTTTTGCTCTTTGTACTTAGGTGATGAGTAAATCTTGCCATGTTTTGTGTCCCCAGTACCTCTCTAAGGTTTTTTTGTTTCTCTGTTCACACAGAGAAACTGATCTCTGAAATATCTGATCTCTGTTCAGATCTTCTGTCCCACTTTTCCCATTTCTGTTCTAAGGACAGTTTCCTTGCTTACTGTCACTGACCTTTCTAAATCTTCCTTCTGGTTCTCCTTCCTCCACTGGATCAAAGTTCTCATTCTGTGTTTTTTCAGAAGCCTCTTCCTCCTCTCCCACACCCTCCCCTAATTCTCTGCTCTTGGATTTTACCAAGTTGCCTGTCACCCTACAGTTACATCAGCACTTTGCTCCTTTTACAAACACATTTGACCTTCCTTTGTCACTAACCTTCTCCTGGCCTGAATGGATTACAGATTAAATCATTGTAATCTATTCTGCTTTTCCTGTAATGCTTGAAAGTTCTCCTCCACTCTCCCTAGCTGCAAAGGCTCCTTAGTTATGCATTCCAAAGCCAGCCTGGATGGTTTAGATCTGCTAATTTACAGACACTGGCTGACTTGCCATATATACTGTATGTACATGCACAAAGGCAACTGTCTTGATCAGCAGCATTTTACTAAAAAGCCTGCTTACATTCAGCGCCTCTAGCGTTAACAGAGGACAAGTGAATATAGGGCACGCTGTAGAGAAGGGTAAACACTCTCCATACTAGGAACCTGCACTGGCATCTCAATGCACATCCCACACAATGCACATCCCTACACACAGCTGATGTTGCATGGCTGGCAGCACAACAGGGTTGAATGCAAATTCTAGACTGCTTTTGTAGCCCTTGGACCATTCTGCCTCTATGCTTTTGCCTAAGCAGGTCATCTCTTCTAAGGGGAAACAGCATAGTTGCTCCTTTGTCTGCTGCTAAATTTAAAAAAAAATCAAATTCACTAAGGCCATATGAAAACAGAAAATATGTACTGGTAGAGTATGAACACTCAATGCTCAAAAGTGTCCATGAGCATGTTCAGTTCCCTGCGTAACCTTGGGTCTGTGGAAAGCTCTTACAGATGTGGTTGAGTATATGTCCTGGAGGACTTTGTTTAGAGGACCAAGATTTAAAAGCCAAAAAACCTCAAACCACCCTGGGAATTAGGAGATGGCTTAGTCATATCATCAGAAGTAAAAGTATGTACATTGCAGTATAATGCATGAATCCTGCATAGATGAATATTGACAAACAAGGGCTCTTAGACATATTGGATAAGCAATTAGGATTTGTGTATGCCGTAGGTTAGCCCATGATAATTCCTGTGGATCAACTATTCAGGGTAATTGCAATGCAAAGACCACCTTGTAAACATTTTAAAATAGTTGAATTCATTTAAAATCCATACCTTGTTTTAATACTAGATAATTGTCAGAGCATACAGTCCCTTGCATTCCTTCAAACATGGCTTACGTAGACTGTGAAAATGCAGCTCAAAGTGTATCCCTGAAGAAATCACAGAGCAACAGTGAAGGATGGGAACTCAATGTCTTTGGTCAGATTTTGAGGTTCTTTGTCTTTACCCCCTACAGACTCAGTGCATGGTGGAAGAGGAGCAGAGAAATGGTGTCTGCCCCAGTTCTCCTGTCCGAGTGCCTCCGGAGTCCCCTACTGCACAAGTGCGCTCCCTAAGATACCGCCGTATGAACAGCCCAGAGTCAGAACGCCTCTCCACTGCTGATGGCAAAGCAGATCTACATGAAAGAAGGTTTGCTCACCCTCTGTAGTGTCCTACTGCTTTTAGCGGTGACTTAAGGATTGACTGTTGAGACCAACCTAACCATTAGGCACTGGAAGTTCATTATTGGGTGGAGGAGTTCATGGGCTTTATGATCTTTCTGATGAGACACTCCTGTCTGTTAATAAGGAGAGTTATTGGAAGTGATTCTCATCCTGTTCCTGGATGGGAAGAACTCCACAGATGGAAGGAAGGACTTTTGTCAGAAGGAAGGCAAAGCATCAAATCAGAGATAATGTAAACAGTCACAAAGCTTTTGGCTGGCCTGAGGTGGAAGGGAAGAATGGATCTTGTTAGGATACATACAGGGATGCATGTATTCTGAGGGCTAGCCGGCAGATCCCAATCTGGTGGGTTTCATTATTTCATTATTTTTCATTAATAGTAATAATAATTTTTCAGCATATGGCATTGCACTTGTTTGCATGTGAAAAGTACACATTACATCCTGATTTTGAGGGCAACAGGAATACCTTCTCTCAGATCCAGAGGAAAGAAATAAACAAAAAAACAAGAATAATAAAAATAATGGAAAGAAGTTTTCTTAAATATTGTATGCTAGAGAACACATGTGTTGCAAGACATCAGTCCTTACTGCTGGTAACCCCCTTCACATCCTTTGTTACTCTGTCTTCCCATTGAAAGTCAGGGCACAGACTGTGGTTGAAGTATGTGCTGGTGAAACGACCCCCTTAAAAAAGGAAGGGGAGAGACAGGCCTTCTTCTCAGAGAAAATCTGATAGTCTTCAGCCAAGAGGAACAGTCACAAGGAGACAGTAGCTGGAAATGAAGGAGGATCAAAAAGAATTTGAGAGATGATGAGCCCCTTGCACTACCCCCAGTTTGCTAGGTACTGATTCATTCTGGGTGGCTGGGGGAAGCTGTAATGCTTCCCTGTAATTCAAGAAAGACTGTTTGTGTTGCTATTAATAATTTAGGGTTTGGATAACAGATCTTGTGTCTTACTACCTCTTCTTTTTCTTGCTCAGAAGAAAGGTTCTTTAAAATAGGAAGGGAAAAAAGCCATTTATAAGAGTCAGCAACACTCATCCTGTATATTCACAGAATGCTTTTAACTCCTTCCTTTATTTCTCCGACTCTTCCTTGTCCACTCAGCATCATGCTATCTTAATATATTAAAAATGTGTATTATACAAAATGCATCCCTTTCTCCTGTCTTCCTCCCTCAGCTCCTGATTTTAAAATCAAGATCTTTTTTCATCTTCCAAGTAGCCTGCACCAAGTATGGTGCAAATACAATCCCACTCTGCCACACAGTCTTCTCTTTACTCTGTTTTTGTCTTTTCACAACACAGACCTGACTCCCAGGACTGGAAAATTCTTCTGACTTTCTGGAGTAAATTCTTCCACTCCAGGAGTCTCTTCTCTGCTGGAGAATGGATGAAGACATTGGCTAAATCTAGAATGTCTTTTATTTTTTTAGCAACAGCTTTTTATAAAATCCAGTTCTTCTTCACACACATAGGCCATTTTTCATCTTAGTTTGCATACTTAGTGTTCCGTATTCACACTGATATATTTTTACGACTAGCAATTACAGCCTTGCTTCTTTCAGGTCCATTAGATGGCTTTTGCTAAGATCTTTGGTTTTGCTCACAATTTTCTCTTCATCAGTCTTTGGTTCACCTCCTCTGATTCCCCTTTCTTCAACAGAAATTTTTCAGTTTTGCTTATAATTCTTTCTGTCTCAGCTCTGGCTTTCCACTGTGTTAAGAGACCCAGTTTTGCTTAGTAACATTTGGTCACTTCTTTGTTTGCCCTCATGCTTTCTCACATTCAGAAGGCTTTTCCCAGAAGAGTCTGCAAGGCTCCTGTATGGTCCTTGTTGAAATCCTTTTGTAAAACACTGCAGCTGTGTCTTTTTCTGGGCAGCAAACACTTTGGTGTTGTGTAGCAGGCTGCCAGCCTCTGTGATAGACAAGAAGTAAAGCAAGCAACAGGAGCAGGCCAAATGGCAAGCATGGTTCATAACACTGTGGAGCAGAAAGGCAGAAATGGTACTGGCTTTTCCAGCTGAGATGTTGGCAGGACCAGTGGGGCACAGAGAGCTTCCAGGGCCTCTTTGAAAGATGTTTCTGGATAGCTGCAGAAGCTGCTGCTATTTAGATTGTGAGCCACTGAACATTACACTACCTTCGTAAAAGGATACTTCCCGTATTTTCTTCCTGTTCCTCCAAAGTATTTTGGGGTCATCTATGCCCAGTGGGATCAAAGATTCTTGCTGTCTTCGAAGAACTCATGTGGCCACCTTAGAGGTCTCATTACCACCATAGAGATAGCACAGTGCAGCTGAAGAGGTTATAGAAACAAAGCAGAGACACTGTTAAGTCAGACAGTAGATTTAGGGGTGGTTCGGGGTGGGTTTTTTTTCACAAACCAATAGAGTTTACTAAAGGGGAAAGAGTATATTGGCAGTGTTGGGGAAAACTGGTTATCATCATGTCATCTTACAAGGAAGAGAGATGCTGAATTGTCTGTCATACTGAAGGGGGAACATATTTATGCCATTGCAGGTTCTAAAGAAATATTTTTGCTTAAGCTTATCTTTCTGAAGCATATCAAGAAATGAGTGAGAAGGACTATACAGGTTTTCTTTCTCTCAACTTTTATGATCCTATCTTTAACCACAAACCTGATGTATTTTTAATAGCTTCGTGTTCTGTCTTTAGATCTCGAATGGATTTACCTGGCTCTCCATCACGGCTTGTGTGCTCCTCCCAGCCAGCCCAGATGCTGTCCATTGATACTGGCCAGGCTGACCGGCAGGCAAGTGGTAGGATGGATGTGTCTGCATCGGTGGAACATGAAGCCCTCAGCAATGCTTTCCGCTCAGTGCCACTTGCAGAGGAGGAGGACTTTGATAGCAAGGAGTGGGTTATCATTGATAAGGAGACAGAGCTGAAGGACTTTCACCCAGGCGCTGAGCCAAGCACCTCTGGAACCACAGATGAGGAGCCTGAGGAACTAAGACCTATTGAAGAGGGTGAGGAGAGAAGGCGCTTGGGTGCAGATGCTGCGGTCAGGCCAAAGATGCATGATGGGCGAAGTCGGGGTATGCAGCCTGTGACTGAGGAGGACAGTTCCCACAGACATGAAGGACCTTCTCAAACAGTATCTGACAGTAAACATGAACAGCAGACAGGAAGTCTAGCCCACTCCCCCCTACATTCAGCACCAGCTATCCGACAAAGGAGACGAGAATCTGAACCTACTGGTCCTCAGAGACAGGTAAGATCTCTGGGTCTGTATCTTGTTGTCTAGCATAGCATCATCTTAGGAAACCTCAGCTGTGCTGGAGAAGTCTGTGTTTCCAAGCACAGATGCTCTTGTGAAACTCTTTCTGACAGTGCTTGTAAATAAATGTGAACACCTTAGAAGTGCTCCCTATAGCTAGTAAAGTTGTCCCCTATTAAGGACACACTGTTATCAAGATCTTTCAGCTGTTTTGGCACAGAGACAAGAGGAGAGCACAGTTGTGGTCGTGGGTATCTTTAATCAGTTCTCTTATTGCTCTCCCATGGTGTTGTTAGTAATGGCTTAGTTGTATGGAGGTGTCAGTAGCAAATCTCCTCCACATATTTTCTCAGCAGCAACAGCAGTGTATGGCAAGAGAATGCCCTCTAATGTAATCACACATCAGCACTGGGCAGGCCTGTAACAATGCAAATCATAAAAGAACTCCCTGAAATTAAACTTTCTCCTAAATACCCCAAAAAAACCTCAGGGTAAACAACACACACATCCTGTCAACCTTACTTCAGTGACTGGCATTGTTGTTACCAGTTATTTACTCACAGAAAAGTTCTTTAGCTACCATGTTTTTTCCAGATAGTTGTAAATGGCTTTTTTCTTTCAGTTTTACTTTTTTCTGTGGTCCTCTGAAGATATAAAGAAGTTTGGTTTTTAGTGGGAGGTGATTTATTAGATCACCTGGCAAAACATGATATACTGCTAGGCTCAGAATTCCTCTGTCATATCTAATCTTCATTTCTCAGACATTCAGAAGAAGACTGTCCCAGAGCGTTCACTGTAAGCGACAATAAAATTATTCTCCTGAGGGCTTTTTGTATTTGTATGTTAATGAAGATTTCTCATGCACATGGGATCCATAAGTGCAGCAAAGAGCAGTCGAGTCTTGGGTCATGCACACAGTGATACCCTCCTAAGGCAGGCATTCATGCAGCCCGCTTGTTCCCCTCTGGAAGATGGTAACTCCACCTCCCATTCCCTCTTGAGTTTTTTTCTATAAGGGAGTGTTCAATGGACTGGAGCATGTTAAAAGAACATCTTTCCATTCAGGCCTTGCCCGGATTGTTCTCTTCTCTGGATACTGGACAGTACAAGAAAAAAAGAACTGTTAGTTTTGGCAGCAAAACATGAATGATGATACAAGAAACTATATTAGAAAACCTAAACCAAATCTGTGCCCACCAGGCAAGGAGTTCCTTGCTAAGGTGTATGAGGCTAACACATTTACAGGAAAGATAGGAATACTGACAGTGGACACTAGTGGGGCTGTCCTGCTGAGCATGGAATAGTAGCAGTACATGCTTCTCATGGAAATTGCAGTGGAAGTTGCAAGATTTCTAGGTGGAGGTGTTTGCTGTATAAAGCCAATATGTTGAATGCCCCAGATACCTAGAGACTGTATAGGCAAGATTGGCAGAGTTGAAAGGATCTGTGTGTGAATTAGTTGTATTAGGCTGTTAGTGCAAGATGTACAAGGTCTGCAAGATGTGATGATATATGGCAAGAGCCATCTGGAAAGAACCAGCTGTAAGAACCAACAGGGACACTTCACTGACAGATTTAGCATAGGTAAAGGCGGCTAGAGGTGTCTTCTTGGCCATAGCACATAATACTGCTGTGTGAAGTGACTGGGGGAGTTGAGTATGATGCAGGCAAAGGCTGCTCATCGCTGCATAGTGATACTTAAAAAGCAGGCAAAAAAAGGAAATCAATGGGATTGTGGGTGGTCACTGCTAATATATTAGACAGACTTGGTTCTCCAGCAGGCTGTGCATTTTTTTTGCTCCAGTGTTCTGAAATACCCTCTAGTTAATCCTGGGCCTAGCTTTGTACGTAGATACCAACACTGGACTTCTTTGGCTGGCCAGGATTTAATTGTGCTTCCTTTGATGTCTGGATCCTTTAGTTGCCTCTATATACACAGCTTTGCAGTGACATTCATAGTTTTCCATTTGCTGGCACAAAAACGTCTGCTAACTCTCAAAGGAAAAGTTACTTTGTGCCTAAAGGAAAGCAGAAAACTGTTCTCCTTAGGTACAGCAGAGACAGAGGGACAGTTGGTTGGGACACTAATAAGAAGTTGACCAAGGACTTAACTAATGAAAATACTGAAGGCCTCACTAGCAGTGACAGATGTTTCTTGTAGCTCAGGCTTGGGCTTCCTCTGGGCTTGATTGAAACTGTGATTAGATTTTGTGTGTGTGTGAGTAAATCTTCCTTATCTTTGAATATAAACTGGACCTTTAAGATAGGTAAAAGTGAATGCAGAACTGGCATGATAGGTCATAGGCCTTGTTGTATCGATTTGGGGCCTCATTCTGGTCTCCCAAAAACTGGTGATCATCCATTGGTGTCAGTAGAGCATTAACTGAAAGTAAATGGGTAATCCCTGCTCTGATGTTTTCTTCTGTTCCTCCATTCTTTGGCTCCAATATATAAGCCATTACTTGTTACTGGCAAAAAGACTGTAACCTCTAGATTATGACAGAATCACAGCATGGTAGAGGTCGGAAGGGACCTCTAGAGATCATCTAGCCCCAACCCCTGCTCCAGGATGGATCAACTAGAGCAGGTTGCTCAGGATGGTGTCTAATCAGAATATCCCTGAGCATGAAGACTCCACAACCTCTTATGGGCAACCTGTTCCAGTGTTTAACCACCCTTATGGTAAAAAAAAATTGTTAATTTAAAATGGGATTTCCTGTATTTCAGTTTCTGCCCATTTCTTCTTGTCCTTTCACTGGGCACCACTGAGTCTGGATCCATCTTCTTTTTCCCATCACGTATTTATAAATGTTGCTAAGAACCCCGTGAGCCTTCTCTTATCCAGACTAAACAGTCCCAGCTCTGTCAGCCTTTCCTAAAATGAGAGATTCTTCAGTCCCTTCATCATCTTTGTGACTCTTCACTGGACTATCTCCAGTATGTCCATGTCTCTGTTGTACTGGGCAGCCCAGAACTGGAACATGGCACTCCAGGTGTAGCCTCACCAGTGGTGAGTAGAGGGGAAGGACTACCTCCCTCAACCTGCTGGCAACACTCCTCCTAATGCAGCCCAGGATGCTGCTGGCCCTTTTTACCACAAAGGCACCTTGCTGGCTTCTGTTCACCTGATGAACACCAGAACCTCCAGGTCTCTGTCAGACTGCTTTCCAGATGCTTGGCCCTCAGCATGTACTGTTCCTGCCCAGGTGCAGAACTTTGCACTTCCCTTTTGAACTTCATGAAATTCCTTTTTTGTCCATTTCACCAGCCTATCCAGGCACCTCTGAATATCAGCACAACCCTTTGGTGTGTCAGCTACTCGCCCCAGTTTTGTATCATCTGTGAACCTGCTGAGGGCATACTCTGTCCCATCATCCAGGTCATTAAGGAAGTTATTAAACAGTAGTGGCCTCAGTATTACACCACTGGTGACTGTCCTCCAGTTGGACTTTGTTTCCCTAAGCACAATGCTTTGAGCCCAGTTTTCAGTCCAACTCACTGTCTACTTATCTAGCCTATATTTCATCATTTTGTCTATGAGGATGTTATGGGAGACAGTGTCAAAAACCTTACTAAAGTCAAGATAAACAACCTCCCACCCCGTCATCACAGAAAGCTATCAGGTACATCAGGTTTTATTTTCCCTTCCTATATCCATGCTGACTGCTCTCCTTCATAGGTTTGGAAATGGCTTCCGGAAGGATTTTCTCCATGCCCTTTCCAGGCTTACCAGCCTGTAGTTCCCCAAGTTATCCCCATTTAGAGCTCAGATGTTTGTTCAAATGTATGAATCTGTTAGAAGAAAGATACCATAGTGCAAGTGTGAGGGATGGTGGTGTCCTCGTGAAACTGTGTGGGTGTAAGAAGGAGCACACTATGAGCAGATGCTGCTGTGGGGAAAGTCAAGTAAAGAGGAGGCTCTGAATAGCCTGGGGGAATTTCTGACCCAAATATTCTCACATATTAGATATCTCCCAGTTTCAGCTGACAAGAAGACAGCTGCAGTGCAGCAGAGACCTCATGTGAAGCTGTGGTATAGAGGGAAAAGAGGTCTGTCATGAAACTATGTCCTTTTCAAGCCCTTCTGTCTGTACACCACTCAGTGCAGCACTGAGCACCCAGCAAGCCGTTTTAACAGAGCTCTTAGGGTTTACTTTAATGTATGTATTTCAGGAATATACTAATAAATCTCTGATTATTTTTATGCACTAATGTGCAGATAAAGCTATTAAAATGAGTGGGGAAAAGAAAGATTAAATCTTCATTTTTGTTTACATATTAATCCTGACATAGGATTGCTGTTACTGTTGGAAATCATTTATATCCACCCCTAGCAATATAATTTAAAAACCTGTCAAGTTCTTAAATGTGCTGAGTAAATTCACTGACACTTGACAGAGATGGCAATTTACTGCTGCCTTCTGCATTGGAAAGAAATACAAATGTTCATACATTTGTATGAGTTTTACCAATTACTTCTGACTGTAAGTCTGTGATCATAGGTATTTCCTGACTCTGAATCTCCCTCGTTGTTAGTGCAATTGTCATTGTACAAAATTTTTTGAGACTTGCCTGCCTAAAACATGCCTGTCCAAATGATATTGCATTTAAAAAACACAAGAAAATTGAAGCAATATTGGGAGATCATATTACCTCATCCTTACCCACTCTTGGATATATTCTGCAAAGTTCAGAGAGCATTTTGCTTACACTGTGTCTTACAGTCCCATCTCCCAGAGCCAAGGGTTCATCTTTTAGAAAAGGTCCCAATGTGAAGAGGCGCTGGTGTGTTTCCTCACCAATTTAACTCTGTAGTTAGAATCACTCTTTAAAAAATCTCCCTTAGTGCTATATTAGGCCTCTTTTCTCCCACAGACAGGAGAATACCAGAAATGGACTTATTTAAACTTGCCCATGTCTTGACCCTGAGAGGATTGCAGTGGTGGAGCTTATGAACCCTTCCTAGCCATACCCCACCACTGGTGTCTTTGCTG